GGGTGGAGGGCTGGGAATTTCAGTTTCCTCACACTGCATTGGAAGTGAAAGCTGGCATTTAAAATGTATTCTAACAGATTCAACAGTTTTCCCTGTGCAATCAGAGATACTAATTATCAAGTCTATTTTCAGAAAAGCATTTTTTTAAATGGCAATTTTGTAGGGGTAGAACATTATTTTGATGTAGTTTCTGTAGTAGATGCCCAAAGACGGGTTGCTTGAGGCTTGAATATTCAGTGTAATGGGGCCCTAGGGGATACATTGCAACAGCCTGAGCACCCTCAGGATCACTTGGAAAACAAGCAGGGCACGTCTGTCAAAAGAGAGAGGCCAATTCTGATGTACCAGGTGTGTTGGGGCTGCTCTGCTGACAGAGCAGGAGCAGCACAGGCTCTGCATTGATCATGCAGGAGTTACTGAGAAGCAGTCAGGAAAGCTCGCTCCTCATACTCAGTGATCTTTAGTTGTCTTTAAATGTAAAGAATCAGAGCAGGAAAATCAATATATATGCCTTCTGCAGTAAGGTACAAGCCAGCAGGTACGTCTGGAAGGGAATAATGTGGGCCAACAGCAACATTGGAACTGGGGTCCTTTGACAAAAAGGCTCCCCTTGCGCTCTGCTCAGTCTGAATTGAAAGTTCCTGTCCGGTATCACAGGACGAATGAGTTATAGAAAGGACATAAGCCATACGGTTTAACTGAATCACCAACGTTAGCAGGCTGCAACTGGGTAAGCATATTGAAGTGCCTAGTGTAAGGCTAGCTGAGGTTTATCATTAACCTGGAGGGAAGAGAGGATGAGTTTGTGCACCAGTTACTAGCTTGGGCATCACTGAACATCACATGCCGCTAGACCAAAAAGTTTGTTTCAAAACAAGGAGTGTCCCTTGCTTCTGGTACTCCTAGCCCCCAGCAGGTGTCAGATGAGACTGTTACTGCAATAATGTTCGTAATTCTTTGTTTTGTTTGATAGCTTCCTAGCGACTTGAAATTCCTACTAAACTTTTTTCTTTTCACATTTATATGCCTTTTCTTTTTATATTAGCAGTTTCCCAGATTCCTTAGCTATACTGATGAGCCTGTATTGCTTCAGTCACTTGTGAATCACAGGGGAGCACAAGCGTGTGCGGTCTGAGTTCGCCAAATCAGCTAAAACAAAGAAAATGCTAAACCTGGAGGGGAGAACAAAAAGACAAAGTTGTCAAGTAGCCCATGTCGTGAGAAACTCGCTTGTATGAAGAGGAGGAGATAGCACCAAGGCAAAACTGAGGACTGGTCTAGGTAGAATTACAAGTCTCTGTGATTATTGTGAAATGATGTAGAAGCCAGGATGACATTTAAAGTTAAGGAGATGGACGTTTCTTGAAACAATTTTAAAATGAAAAAAAAAAAAGTTAAAATATTCCTTTGGGTTCCTGTTCATATTCTTGCCAACTTTGCACTCCCCTTTGCAGCCGTGGAGGATCCGCAGGCAGTGCCAACATGTGGCTTTGTCACCACCACTGAGATGCTCCTGGTGCTGCGGCTTCACAGGCATTTGAGGATTATATGACAACTTGGGGAGCAGGGTTTATAGCATCTCAATCATATATCGAGAAGCCAGTATTTAGTAGAACAAAATTCCCCTGCTAACAAAATGATTGTTTTTTAAGGAGCAGGTTTTGGAATTGCTTTTTTTCTTTTTCTTCTAGCGGCAGCTGCAGGTTTTTCGCTTTAACACCAGATAAAATGCTCTGCTAATAGTAACGGGTTTTCCTTTGTCATCAGGTTTCCAAGTTTGAAAGGAAAAAACAGGCTTTTATTCTTCAGGGATATCGCTATTACTGAAGATCAGGCTCAGAGAAAAAGGGTGGAAATACCCCTTAGAACAAAAATATTAAGGAGTTCAATTTATTAAGTTAATCAAAATACTGCTGAAAGGAAACTTGATCACAGTCTATCCCCACAAGGAGAAGTCATGTGATTATAAAGGGCTTTTTAGTCGGAGAGATAATGAAATAACAATTTCTAATAGCTGGAAATTGTCTTCAGGAAAAAAAAAAAAAATCTCATCTCTTGCTGGAAATCAGGTGTCAGTTCTTCCTAGTGCGTGAGTATTGGGAGAAATTGCTGCAGCCCTAGTTTAGCCATCACTTGAAAGATGCAACAAGAAGCCACGCCGGGGCTGTGGGCAGTCGGTTTTATCTTCAGCAAGCAGCCTGATGGGATGACCAGAGCGGAGGAAGCCAAGAGATCCATGCACAGTTGCTGTCTGTGCCACAGACCTGCTGTGTGACCTGCAGGTCGCTTCCCTGCCTCGGTTTTCCCATTTAATGTGCTGAGAGAGGCCCCTGTTTATAAGACCATTACACACAAGAGGGTTGTTACTGTCAGATCTGGGATCGTCAGCTCGTGTGCTCACTTCTAGGCTGTGCTTCAGAAAGTGTATTAGGGATGTGCTACCACGTTTCCTCCTGGATTACCATCGATCACTGCTGCTGAGTTTGGCTATGACACCGTGACCCACTTTTTCTTAGAAAAAAGCTGCCCGAGAAAGCATCATATTTCTTTTCCCCCTCTTTCCCACCCCTCCATACTCTCCTTCCAAAGCACTCGATTCCTCTCAATGAATTCTTGCGTGTGATTGTTGCCGTGAGATCTGCTTAAAAAAAAACTTTTTTAAAAGCCGTCAGCTGAGATTTTGGAAGAACGCAAGTCGCAATGAGAGAGGAAAAAGCATAAAGCAGAAGGCAGTGGATGCAGACACACGACCACAGGTCTCTCAGCAGGTTCTGGACCATTAACTAACGCACAGGTAAAGGGGTGTGCTGTTACTGTTTTCTTTTTTAAAGCTGCTCTTCTACTTAGTTTCACCTGGGACCTGGCCATGAAAGCAAACCCAGCCTGCCAGCCTCTCAGAGTCCTGTTTGAAATCCAGGAGCTGAAGAACTTGCTCAAGCTTTGTCTCCTTTCCCAGCCCATAAATCTTACAAACATCCTGGTGAGGGGATTGAGGAGTGGAAGTGCCGTCCCCCACCTTCTCCTCCCCTTTCAGGAGGGCACAGAGAGCACTTGCATGGCCCGACCCGAAATGGCTTTACCCATCCCAGCAAACCGCTGTGCCTGCGCAGAGATATTAGCTCGAGTCCCAGAAGCAGCATCATTATGGTGCTTTGCCTGGGATAATTATCTTCTTAACATGGGTAATTAGGCTGGTTGCCACACTGTGCTGACTCAGCTACGCTGTGCTTGCCTGGGGATGATGCTCAGCGCTAACGGGAGGATCCGTGCTGCACGGCGGCTTTACGGGGTGAAGCCCAGCTCCTCATTCAAGGGCTTGCATCAGAGCAGGCTCCTGAACTAGGTCAGCGGTCAGGAAATTCCTTACAGGAGGATCCCAGCAGTGGGAGAAGCTTGCACAAGCATGCCATCCTGCTTGGGTTGTCCCTAAGATCAGGGCAACCCGGACTGACCTTAGGTGAACTGAATTTGCTTGTGTTTACAACACTAATTGCAGGTGAGGAGTTTTGTGGTTAAGGCAGCGGGTTCTGAACATCTGGCTCCACTTCTGGTGTCTACCATGGATTTTGTAGCCTTCATGAGTATATTTTTGGAGAGAAATAGCTCTTCCTTAGTTGTCTGCCTTGTCTCTATATATTATTTTAATATGCTGCTGGAGACTGGGATTTCCCCGCTATCGGCTCATTTTATTTTTCTGAGAACGGTCCAGAGTTAGCAAAAGTTTGCAGTTCGGGTTTTACTTGGCCTCCTGTCAAAAACTATACGCTGATTTTACACGAAGAGACTCTGGTTAGGCAGGAGGTGATAAAGCAAATTGGATCTTGGCAAGGGTTCTGGGGCTGTTAAATGCCATCAGATCTCTTAATGATCGCGCGCGCTCAGACGGCTAGTTCTGCACCCCTTCCAAAACGAAATGGCAGTAGGGGTTGTGTGTGCAGATTGGAGGACATCTGGTACCAACTATTAGGATGCATTTTTCTCAAGAGCCGATGAATATCATCCTGCTACCTAAATGCACAAGCATACACATTTCTGTCCTGCTCCTTCTGCACCAGTGGGTGTCTTCAAGCTAAAGAAGTTCCTTCAGACTTGCAGCTTGCAGCCTGTGCCCGGTTAGCTAAATAGCTGGGGGACAGCTGATTTGCTGGTCCTTCTGTATCTGTTTCCTTTCTCAGCTGAAAGCTCCCTTTCCTGACTAGGTTAGACCTTGCTCATGGTAAGGAATGCTTGTGTTCTGCAGACATGACCCAGCTGTACACCTGCTATTAATAAGAACTCCTCGTTACCAGCTTTTCAGTGCACATGTTGGGCAATGACAAGGAATTAATCACAGCTAGAGGAAGTAGACAGCTGGCACAATCAGCTGGTAAGGGACCAGTTTCTGAATGATTCATTTCGATTTTAACCTCTAAATGCCACGCTCAGGTTTGGTTCTTAGGTGGTGTGAGTGCATTTGGTTCTGCCCAGCCGAGTACCACTCCATGCTTCATTTTGGTGAGTATCCAGCCCTCTGCTGCTGGCTCTCCACTGAAACGTTACCAGCATTCCTGCTAGATTCTTGTACCAGCTTCCTCCCGATTTTTTTCCCTACCTTGCAGTAGGAAGAGCTGTATTGGACTCACAAATTACCACCAGAGAGGAAGAAAAATAAAGTGAAATGAATCAGGACTCTCGAGCCACGGGGATTGAGCTTCAGCTGAATATATCTCACAAACTTGCATCTAAAGAAAACTGTCCTTCATATTTCAGTATCTACCCACGAACAGCCGAGCTCATGGGGGCTTTTAAAGCTGCATCCTGCTATAAACCTGCTAGTAGCAAGTCGCCTCTTTGATAGCTAACCTAGTCAATGGGTTTATGTGGGACACTCACAAGTGTAAATTTAGGTTGACCTAGTTTAACCGAACCAGTTGACCTAGTTTGGCCAACGTTAAATTATATTGAAGTGCTGCTTAGACCACCTAATTCAGAGCTAAGTAGTCTGAATTTATTTCTGGATTTGTTTTGACTTTCAAGGTTTTCGGTACGGGTTGTTAATGCAATACCACGTGTGTGTGTACAGACAGACACAAGGTCTTGCCCTTTGACTCATCTCAAAATTTAGCATCTACTCTGGGTTGAAGGCAAAATGCAAGGGTGAGGCTGGCCTGAGATGTACAGACTGCAGATAACCTTACATAGGGAGAGATGCTTGTTTGGGTTTTCACTTTTCCTTAGGTGCAGTCGGTGCTACAGGAAAGTGGAACTCATTTTCATGAAGCAGATCCCAGACTTCATAGAGTTTGATCAAGCTCTTTACCTCTTCTGCCTTCCTGGGTCTTTCTACTAGGAGGGAACTGACGTTGTTTTTTTCCCCCCTTCATAACATTTTTCCTATTGATGGTGGAGTAATATTAACTACAGACTGCAGACTTGCCTCTCTGCTGCTTTTCCAAGGTTGTGTGCTCGCTTTGCACGAGTACCTGCAATCTCCACCTGAGGTGAAAAGCAGGGGAAAATCAGATGCACAACACACCTCAAAAAGCTTTGCTGTTCCTTAATCCTCTAACCTAATTTGCTGCTGCTTTTAATATAATTTCTGCATTGGCAGCCTTGTGAGAGACTGAATACTAAAGGCAAAAAAAATAGTTATGAGTATAACGCTTTTCTAGATTTTCTGCTTTTGAAAACTCAATAGAAAAAGCAAAGGGCTAAGAAGATTTCTTTAATGTAGGAGAGACTTTCCAGCAGGGAGATAAATAGGTCTCACTTCTCCCATTCTCTGCTACAAATCAGAAATAAGTCCCCAGGAGCTAATGATGTACTAGCAATATAGTCGTATGAAAGGAGGATTTTGACGTCTGTTTTTTTGTTGTTTTTTGAATTCATGAAAGCGTTTTAGACTCTGGCAGTTTTTTAACCCTCACTATACAGCTATATTTGAGGCATGTCACGGCATATTTGTGCGCGAAGCATTCACATTTACAAGAATTTCCTGGGATCGCAGACTGTCCTTTTAAATATTAAGGACAAAACCTTGAACTGATGTTAAAGAGTGTCACGCCTTTGATTTGTAATAGGTGCTGAGGTACACTGGTCTCTGAGCTGGCAGCGAAAGTACAGGCACTTTCTCATTTTCTGAAAAGGCACCTTTATGTTCCTTTGGCAAAATAGAAAGGCCTTTGCCTGATGTTTATCTCCAATTGGAGACTGCTGTACTCTGCTGTAAAGTAGCTTTGTAGAAATGAGATTTGGAGAGAGCCAGCCACTGCTATTCACTGAACATTAGGTAACAATTTCTCCCTATTAATTTCATGTCTGATTGTGGGGAGAGGCTGCCGATGCCATTACTTGAACAATTTTGTTAAATTAATTCATGACAAAATATTTACGTTGTGACCCTGAAGCCCAAATCCAGGGCTAATCCCATAACTCTGAATGTTCTTGATTTCTGCTGACTCCTTTTTCCGATACGAGTTGACTCCTGTTTTTCATGATATCTGAATATGATGTTGAAAAGCTATTTTTGTCCTAACAGTTCACAAAAGGGTGTACGGAAATTTTCATCCTATTTTCTCTAGGGTTTATTTCATCATACTTTTCCTCTGCTACTAGGTATTTTCTTCCTCTCTAAGATAAACAGTAGTGATCTTTTCAGTATCTGTAACACTGGCATTAAAAAAAAAGACTTTAAATCATCCTACAAAATGTGATAGGAAATGTTTGCTATGCTATATAATTCTGCTGGAGAGCTTCTAAAACCCTATAGAAAGGTTATCATTTTCTATAACAAATACAGACTTCTAATGCACTTGCTTCAAAATCCTCTTGGGCTTCATTCCTATTAAATTCTATAGGACTGAAGATGCCCCTAAGGATTATTCTGATAACAGCAAGAGACCATTTTGCTGGGTAATGTATCTTTAGCCGGGCTGTTTTCAAGCTTGCTTTTTTGCAATTATCTGCTAAAACTTTATCACCCTTCTTTAATTTCTCAGCTGTCTTTCCCATTCTGAAAAATGCTGGGGAGATCTCTCTTTCTGAATTTCAGATTATAAGGCTGTCAGAAGCGTAAATATTTTATAGGTGATGATTTGGCTTGCCAATAAGTTAGCACTTCTCGAAGTCCTCGAGAACCTTTTGGGCCAGGTTGATAAAATGCTGACTGTTGTTGTAGGGACACATTGCTTCTGCATTCCCTGCTCAGCCTTTCCTCTGCACAGCCTCTAACGGCGACTTGCTTTATTTTGTGTTTCTGTATCTTGTGAAGGATCCCTTCAAGGTGTTTTCATAGGTGGTGAAGGAAATGCTGCATGTTGACGTGTGCTATTTCTCCCTGCTGTTTCTCTGCTGTGATGCAAGCGCGTCCCTTTCGGTACCAAAAGGCTGGATGTAACCTTCTTCTTGAGCTGAGAAGTGCCCTGAGCTGAGGAAATGGGGGCACGATCCATTTAGACTACTTCAGATTTATCTCAGGTGCTCTGGCTTGTTCCTTCAGCAGCAGCATCCTCTTCCCCCTGCAACAGGAGCTGAGGTCCTTTGCTCAAATCCTTGGTTTCACCTAAGCTAGACGCCTGAGGTATCGGTGATGTGAAACCCTTCTCCAGTGCTCACAGCTCAGAGGGAGTGGCAATTCTGCCTGGGCTCACGCTGCATGACATCTTTTCAAATGAACTGAACATCAGGACGTAATGGGCCTCTCTGGCAGTCCTCCGTGTGCCATATGTTGAGTGCATCTGGTGTGTGGCACCAGCACTGAAGCAGGTAATTTACTGCAGGAAGAAGAAACAAGACCGTGTGCGCCAATTTATCAAGGTTAAAAACAATGGCGATGGAGACACCATGGAAAAAGGGGGGTTGTAGAAGGAGACAGTTCCTTCAGAGAGGATGTACCTCTGCAAAAATCCCTTCCATCGTCCTGCGAGGCCCTGATTATTCCCCCAAGGAGGAAAGTGGGGACATACGTAAGTCTGTAGGCTTCCAGTTCAGTTACTGGAGACGGGTGCTCCACTTTGGAATCATCCCTATTTTTACTGCAGGGAGCATAAGAGATGATCTCTATCTGAATGTGTGAACTCGGAAGGGAGAAGGCAGATTTAGATCATGGCTGTGCCTTGGGAAAGAAAGGTGTGATGCATTAATAAGACACAGCACTGTAAGGCTGGCAAGACTTGTGTCCCTTCCGTAATTCCTGATGTTAACTTTCCCTTTATTTTTTCTACTGATTTAGCTTGCAGGTTAATTCAGGTGAGGACTGTTTCTTTCCACGTGGGTTTATTTGGCCTGGTGTAGAGGGGCCCTGGTCCTGGTGCAGTGTCAGTGCTCTGTTGGAGACCAGATTTATTGCAACTGAGCAAATTACGGATCTCATCAAACGTCCAGTTTCATCAGGGTGCTCATGATTTATATCCTCAAGTTGCCTTGTTAAAATAGAAAACCAGAGGTTGACCTGGAAGTAAAATACTTGAAACATCAATATATTACCTGAATGATCATACTGAGCACCTTTCAAAAGGTAAGCATGTCTGGCACGTGCTTACCTTTTATTTTGTGGGTAGCCCAAAATATGTCTGAATTCCTCACATTCTTATTAAGACACCCAGCAGTAATGTTGAGCAACATGACATAGCTGGAATAAATCTGAGTGGAGCGTGGTTGGAGAGAAGAATGATCATTTCTCAGAAATATCATTAAAAAATCTTATTTCATGCAATATTCTCATCCAAAGTGCCATGCTATCTCATTTTGGCACATTGGAAATGAATCGTTGGCTCTGATTGCCTAGTCTAGGAATTCACATATATCAACATCCTTCGAAGAACTTGTAAGAAATACAAGAAAGCAAAATTAACTTTCAGGCACCCTTTTTCCAACCTCTGTACCCAATTTAGATGAGGTTAGGGATTTAGTTTCCCTGGCTAGACCCTAGGATTTTACCCCATTATTAAAGATAACCAACCAACAACCTCACACAATATATAACAGGATATTTCATATAGCCTGGTTTTATCTTGCAAGATAATCTTACTTCTTCATTAGGAGCTACGGGTGTATTCTGGGCCAATGCCCAAAGGATGAACATCCACCACTGAAAAGAACAAACCAATGTGGTCTGAAACAGAAATTTTTCGTTAGTCCTTTTATCAGCTTATCTACACTGATGACAGTCTTTTTTAGAGACAACTCGCTTTCTCCTTTTCCCCCTTTTAAGTCAAGCTAAAGCGCAGAGTACATGGGCTAATATCCTGAATTGATGTAAAATTGATTTCATAACCTTTAGGAAAAAAAAATAGAAATGACTTTCACAAGGATAAGAGAAAACAGCCAGAGAACACCATGCCTTCCCTTCCCTCCCCAGCTCCAGCCCCTGGATTCTGCGGGTTCAACTTAATATGATTATTTTCATCCAGGAGAACATGCATCATCTCACAAACTAAGACGAGGGGACCCACGGTGGCTCTTCTAATCTAAAAACAAAGATGGAGCCCTCAGTTCAGGCCTCCGGCAGAGATTAGCTAGCAAAGACATCAGGACAGAGCCCACAGCAAATGATTTAATTTCCTCTCACCCCGATGTTTGTCCCCTTTATCCAAATGGATCAAGCTTAACTTCTAAAACAGCCATTTTGTTCCTTCCTTCAAGACGGTTTGGGTTCTTTTATTCCCTCTTTCCCCCCACTAACCAAATCACATTGGACATTTCACACTGAACACACTGATAGTCTCTAAAATATCAAATGCTTTATCCCTAGGAGCCCCCTAGGAGTTGCTTTTTTTAATGGATTAACTATGACAGAGACTGCACTCCCACAGTTTTTAAAATATACAATAAGTATATTACATACTTTTAAAGCTATAAATAAGATTTATACACAACCCATGGGGATTTTCCATTAAAACTTCATAAATCACATTGTACATTATCCTTTTTAATCCTCAGCCTTGCAGTGTTAGTCACCAGAAAATATATTTAACCCTGTATAAAATTCATGATAAGCACGTATAAAGAATGTTAACGAGAGCTTTTATGTGCTCTGTATTTTCTTACCCTAATGCATTTTTTTTTCCAGGCAATTATTTGTAATAGTAGCAGTTATCTCCTGGCCCTGCTTTATGAACTGAAAACCCAGGTGCTTTGCCTGGGACTAGGTCCGGTTGAGAGCAGCAGAAATAGGATCTTTTAGCGATATCCATCCCTCAGCTAGAGGGTTCCCTATCATCTGGTGCTCAGAGAAGGCGACTTTCAGATGTCTCTCGTTTGCTCTCGCCACGCTGATTAAGCCCTTCCCTCCTCGTGAAAGGCAGGAGAGGAGGAGCGCTGGGCTAATTGCATCACATTAAGCTGCCTTCAGCTATTTTGCCTGCCTGATGTGTCACAGGATTCAGACTGCAGTTGTCTCTGCCCCCGTGGTGGTGGTGTTCCAGACGGGCCGTTTAACTCTCTTTTCTGCCCTCTTAATATTTTGGGAATAGAAGAAAAATGAAGGATTTTTTATATGGCAGGATCTCATCACTCAAACCACTGAAGCTCTGTCATCTCCACCTGCTTCTCTTTTAGCTCCCAGAGAAAGGAAGGTGTCGAGTGTACAAGAGGATGCTCCTGCTCCAGAGGCTTTCAGCACGTTGCAGGTTCTCCAAAGTTGTGTTGCCAAGACTGAGAAAATGCAGCTGTGTGAGCACCAAACCATACTGGGGCTTTCCAGTTTACACAGATGATCGTCAGCTTAAAGCTTTAAGGGGCTTCGTTAGATGAGGATTCATTAAGATGCAGCTGCTGGTGTTGTTTTTAACTCACGTGTGTGTTTTTTCCTCCCGACTAGAAGTTGAGAAAGAGGCATTTATTCCCATCATACATACACATAATTTTAAATTTGCAGCAATTTCACTAAGATAAAACTGGAATTGCCTGTGCCCTGGTGTCAGTTTCATCAGACAAACTGAAAGCAACGGATCCTAATGAGGTGCTGTAAGAGATCTGTTTTTATCTCTATGATTATGGAGACATTAAGTGAACCTGGTTTTTGTCTTTTCAGCAGCTGAGCAGACGTGTTTTGCCATTACTGACATAAAGCAGTCAGAACAGAACAATCAAGCTGCTGCTCTGGACTGTGGGTGCCCTGCGAAGGGAGCTGCGTGTCTGTGTCTTAACAGGTCTCCACAGCTTGGTCCCACTTACCTTGTCACCACTTAAGCTGTGCCATGTCATCAACCCTTCCCTACCACCATGCTAACCTTTCCCAGTCTCCTCATTTCTCCATAAAAGCTTTCGTCCTCGCTGAGAAGAGCCCGTGATCCAAAAGTCCCCTTCCTTCCTTCTGCTCTCTCTGGCCAGCTCTCGGTGCTCTTCCATCTGCAGTCCCGAGGTGGGTGAAGAAGCTTTTGTCCTGTTGTTGCACCACTTTGGGTTGCTCAGGAAACAGCTCAGATGTGCACCCCAAGCTGTCAGCGTGCCTTGCAGGGGTTGTCCAGGCTCACTCCAAGCTACCTGGCTACCAGCAGTGCCTCCGCAGCAGCCCAGCTCCTGCAAAGAAGCAAGGTCATTAGCAGAGCTCCTCAGGCCATGGTGCCTGCACACTCGCTTTGAATAAGTCCAGATGATGTGCTAGTATGCTCTAGATGCAGAATACTTATAAAGCCACTTGGCTACAGGATGCAAAGCAAAATCAGAGCCCTTCAGGCTTGGCCCAGAGGCAGTTTGCTGTTTGGAGCCGACGTGTTGCAATCCCTGACTTTCTCCACAGCACCTTAAACCTGGTCAGAGTTGTAAAATGTTTCCCTTCAGACAATCTATGGCTATTTTCCACAATGACAACGGTTCTCCTACAGCTGGAACTGGTGGCTCCGGGGCCTTTTGGGGGTTTGACCTTTTCATGCTTCAGTAACGGGGATGAAGCTGTACTGAGTCTACGTGCAAGCGATGACAGAGCAGCTGGCTGGCTGTGCCTGCCTGAAACACTGAAAATAATTGTATGTAGTTACCTTGTACTTCTCACCCAGACTCTCTGTTGATTGGATTTGGCTGTTATCTAAGGTTTTTTATGTATTTAGGCTGTAAAACCCTTTAAAACCAGCACCCTCGCTGCCCGCTTGGAAGAGCAGAGAGGAAGGAAGCGTGCAAAGTCGAAGCGATGCGCAGCCATCGCCTTCCAGAGAGACCCGATCACCTGCAACGTGATAGACGAGCAAACGCGCTGTTTCAGTGTGCCTAATGGTGTTCGGGAGGATGCCATACAGAAAATAATGACAATGTTCTTGAACACCAGGATGCTTTTAAAACACTGGAACATGCAGTGCAGCTGCCTCCCCACCAGGAGCCACTGGCAATCTGACTTAATTAACAGATCCCTTCACGTTTTACAGCAGGGATGTTATTTTGTAGAAAAGCATCGTCCAAGGAAGAGCGGTGCCTCAGCACCACGGAGAGACGGAGACAAGCAGCAATCTGGATTTTGCTTTAGAGGCTTTTAGAAACAAGCAGCTCTGATTAGCTCATTGCTGGCCCAGCCAAAATAATAATTCATCGGGCTTGGAAAGCTCCGTTAAAGAGGAGGGCAGGAGGAGCATCTCATTTTACAGATGTGTTGGAGGAGAGACAGTTGTTTGATAGCGGAGTGTGGCAGTGGAGGTGCTGTGGTGGTGGGTGGCGTGGATCCTGCCCTGATGTGGGTGGCAGCGGTGCATTTGGGTGACTGTCCTTGACTGACCGGCAGCTCCTCCATCCTATCGTCTAAATGAGGTTTTTCTCAACAAACACAGAGATTATAACAGCGAAGTTCGTTAAAAACTAAAGAGCAGAACCATGCTAATGGGGACTATGCCAATACCTGTCCAAGACAACCTGCAGCCTAAAAAAAAAGATGAAAGGAGCAGAGTTGCAGAGCAACAGGGTTTTTAACTTGAGAAACTAAGTTGACTGTAGAGCCTGGTGTGCCTCTGTCTCAGTGGGAACTCATGTATTGTTATGATCTGCATTGCTAATGATCTTATGAATTATTATGATCTACAACGCTTGCTTAAATGTGACTGTGGTCTGGGGATGGGTACCTGAAATTACAGCATGAGAAGTTCCTAGGGGGGAGTTGTTGGGTGTCTGGTTGTGCTTCTGTGATGGGTGAAGGATTAGGATCCCAGTGCGACGTGGGAGACAGCAGAGAAAACGAGAAGGTGACACCGGGAGCTGTTGATCTACAGCACAGAAACCACTAACCCAGCAGAACTCTATTTTTACGGAAGAAAAAAAATGGCACATCTTCCTGAGCTTTGCAGGGCTGTATGTCAATTCTTGCTCAAAGGTGAGGAGGTTGCACAGAAGAATCATTGGCAGCTGGGAGCGGAGCGGGAAGGTAGCCAGTTGGTATCACACTGGGTGAGCCACTTGAGAAGTCCTGGCATTTGTGCGCTGGCATCTGCTGCTGCAGCCCGTCAAAAGGTGCCAGATGCTGTTTGTGCAATAATAGCTTCTGTGGTTTGGCATTTGTGTCCTACGATTTACAGCTCTGCCTCGTATTTGGTGGGAGGGGACGGTCCCGGGCTGCTGAGCAGAAACCAGCCCAGGCTGGGTGATCTGTTGGAGGGTCTGATCGCAGGGGAGCTCTCCCTGCCTACAGACTCTGAGAGAGCAACCTGAGATCTCTAGAGATTCCTGGTGCCATTTCCACATCTTCATAATTGTCCTGACCTCGGTGCATTGGAGCAGTCTGTTTAGCGTTTAAGTTTGGGGAGAATTATCTTTTGTTTCGGAGAACTTGCATGTAGGAAAGCAGATTGATTTGCAGGACAACTTCTGCGAACTCTGCCCTTGTCATCTACATTTGTCTCCATCATCTTAAGCGTTAGTGGCAAATTGGAAGAGATCGTCTGACTGTAGTTAAAGAGGGACAAAGAGATTGCAAGGTTATTTAATGATATCTGACTTGGGGTTTGGTCACCTTTTTGAGGGGGAAATCACTGACTTGCCCACTCTTCTTTTTCCTACGGTGCAGTTCATATATCAAAAAATATAAATTTGTACGCATGAGTTGAAAAAAGAATGAATATCAAAATCTTTTATTAAGTCAGATCAATATTCTTTACCCATTTGAAAGACAGAAGAATGGAGGTACAGAGGAACATCCATTAGGGTAAAATAGGTTATTCATCATTGATCTTGTTTTTATCCTGATCTATAAAAAAGGATATTTCCCGTATGTAAAGTATGTTTTGTTTTTTTTTTTTTTTCCACTTAAAGACTGCAGGTTTGGTCTTGTACACTGAAATTCCCAAGGTCAAAAAATTCAGGAGTAAACGTCATATTGAAAAGTAGTGGTCAAATATTTGTGACTCACAGCACAACGTTAATATTTTCCCCTTGGAATCTGATGCAGGAAACTAATATGGCTAATGAAGGACTTAGAGGGCTAATAAGCCCTAAATCAGGCTTCCCAGCCTTTTAATTACGCTGCATAATTATTGGAGATTTGCCATCATCTTTTTAATCTGGTTGATTAATAGGTAGCTTAGCCAATCCACACAGCAAACTATTTACACTCCAGTGATGATTGACTATCAGTTGAAAAATTGCAGAGGCATTGGCTAAGCAGAAAGAAACATCGGTCGCTTGCTCGTATGAAGTGCATTTATCACACGTGTCAAACCTCAGCAGATGTCCCGTTGGGTTCCTGGCTTCCAGGAGGTGAGGAGGTGATCTGTTTGTCGGCCCAGGCTCCTCAAAGAGTAATCGAAGAGAGCAGAAGTAGCTGTTGTGTTCTCCAGAGGGGTGAGATATGAGACCCAGAGGCAGGAGGTGTGCTGGGCAAGGGAAGGCAGCTCCTGATACCGTAAAGCAAGCTGAGATGGATGGATCCTGGCTGGGCTGAGAGGCAGAGGGCAGTTTGTCCACACGAGCTGATTTTCCCTATTTCTCACATAAAGGTTGATGCAACTTTTCAGCTCTGCAGTTTGGAGGAATTCAGGGCAGGCAGTGAATAAGCCTGCTTTAATATTATTTTTTTGTTGTCGTTCTGAGTGCTACAAGGAGGGAATGCTTTTGTTTTTATACGAGAGTTCAAATTGTTATTAGATGCAAAGCCCATTTAAAATCGGTATCTTGCCAGCAGTATAACTCAAGCTACTGCTTTGTGCCTGATCCTTGGCTAATGCATGCTTTGGTTCTTCTGCTGAATTCATTTGAGCTGGGCTGCTCTGTGCAGAGCTGACCCATCTTTTTTAATGGTACTGCATGATTTCTTATTTGTGTGGATATATATTGAATTCTGCTTGGAAATCACACGTGGTTTAAATTGTTATGTATGCTGTTTAGGGATTGCGAGAGACTAGCGCGTCGTGATCACAGAGATTAGGATTTTAATACCTTCCCCACCTGTATTCCTCTTCGCGCAAAGTGTGCCAAGGTAATTACAGCTCGGAAAATATTTTTGTGCTGAATAATTCAGTTCAAGCGTTAGGCATTCTCCGTGCAATAAAGCAAGCTCTCTGCGCTGCTTGGCTCTTGGTGGGACTTCGGTGGGGCTGGAGCAATGCTTTTGGCCTTGTTTTGGCCTTTGCATGGGAATGTAATTCAACCTCACCGCTGTTTGGGCACGAGCACGTCGCAGTTGTCTCCAGTGGATTAGTTACTTGCATCTTTCTTGCTCCAGGAGCTGCAAGTCTGTGACTCTGCCATTCACTCCGTGATGAGCCTGGTAAACCACGAAGCATTATTTCTGACTGCTGATCATGCAAGCTGTTCGGGAGCAAAAACTTGAGCGCGGGTATGTTTTACAACATTGTCGTTAGGCATGTTCGCATATGCCATTTTGAAACTCCCCTCCCCGAGACATTTTTGGCAGGAAAAAGCCAACCACTGAAATGTTTGTAGGAAGCAAACACAAGATGTGGGCATGCAGGCAGGCCTGAAGCATTTCTAGTTAACCATGGGAAGGAGAAAGTCTGGCAACTTTTGCATCATCTCTTTAGAGCTGGCCATCTCCAGACATCTCCTGACCTTTCTACTTGCTTCTGACCTTCTATTTCACATTTCCACCTGTGCTGAACCTCAGAAGTGCTTGCTGTCCCAGAATAAAACTTAGGAACTGGTAATTCCCTATTTATATAACACCCTGTGTACATTTATTTAAACAATCGTTATCATTATCAACAGTAAAGCAGAGGGTTTCACACAGATTATGGTCATTTTAGCTTTTTGTTAGGGATGTTTTCAGGGATTTTTGTTTGTATCTCATCTTCTGACATTTGCTAGGGCGCAGATCCTTCGATAATTGTGTGCTTGGTTAACAAAATGTAGTTCAGCTCTGTGATGCCAGTAAAATTAAACCCTTAGTTTGGTTACCTAAGTATCAAGCAAGCCATTTTTTCTTTTCCAGGAGTGGTTTAGATTCGTGGTACCGGTTCCTGGATCAACCTCTACTTTTAGCAGCCCTTGGGATAACAGGTGAGGCTTGATCCTGTCTATTCAAATGGAACCGAAAATCCAAATAAATGTAATTGGCCTCTGTAATGAAAATGTCTGTCAAGTGTCAGCCAGAAATGATTTTTTTTAATGTCTGTGTTGGGCATAAGAGGTTGAAGCAGAACTGCTGACAGGCTCTTAGCTGTAGTGGCACAAGAAGACCGGGATAATATAGTGTGACAGAGAAATAGATTTTTCCATGTACAAGATGTGTATGTTGGTAGAATAGGTTGGGCCAAAATTACCACACAAAATTGATTAGATCATCGTGTAATGAGAATCATAATTTTAGCGGTGGCTTTTTGACATGATCTTGACAGCATAATTAACCTAGGAGATGTTGAGGCAGTGAAAATAGAGGAGAAACCTATGTAATTATTGGCAATAAAATATAAAAAATGTTACGGAATAATAAGAAGCTTAATCTTTTGCCTTCCTAGCATATTATCGTAATTGCACCTTTTAGACCATTGCCCCAAATCCCATTGCTCTCCTAAATTTGAATTTTTCTTGAAGAATCATAGTCTGTGTGTTGCTTTGCATGTTCCAAATTGCAGGCAGGCTAATCAGTGGTTTTTTTTTTACCACACCTAGTTAAATTACACAACTGTTTGGAGAGTTTAGTAATGTGCATTATTAAGGAAAAGGTGAAATTGGGTAAGCAGTGCTCAATGAAGAGGAAATTATATTACTCATAACTGATGGCATTAATGGAAACGTGTCCGTAAAGTTGCAGCACGATGTGAATTACTGCTTCTGGCAGCTGAAACGTGCGGCTTTTAATTACCCTGCTTTAAGTCAGATAATGGATTCCCTCATATTATATTTTTATTATTATTTATCTCGGCTCAGTGTCTTCGTAAACCTGCCTTCTGGCTGGCAAATGGGTAAATACCTATTAATACTCAAAACTTACTGTGCACGGGGAATTTGTTGTACAGAAAGTTGAGCAAATAACCGTCCCCCAGGAGTCGCTTTTCCCCTTCCTTCCCTCCACGTGTGCATTTTCTCCTCTCGACAGCTTTTAGCACAGAAAGGCCTCCCCAGGGGAGGGAGGGACGCTCAGTCCAGTTCCCTGGTAGCCCCCAAATCCCTTCCCTCAAGGAATCAAGGCAAAGCCTTTATGAGCTGGATTAGTACAACTCTAGTTTGGGAAAATAGATTTTTTGGTGGACCTAATTTGAATTTGTTCCTCTTTATGGCATAGGTTAAAGAGGATTGGCCTCTCTTCCTCATCCCTCCCCAGCTCCTGTTGTTCTTGGGGAAGGAGGGAGGAAAGTCCAAGGCATTTCTGCCTCTGTTTCAATGGAGAGCATCGTGTTTAACCTGGAGGAACCTGTCAGCAGCCCTCAGTGTACACGAGGTTGTAACACAAACTTAATCAGTGTGAAAAGTGCTGCTAGCACAATATATGCCACCTCCTCAGTCCATAAATAATTGCGGATGACTGGGCTAGCTGGTTTTTAATCATAAGCACAGGGTGACGTTAACCTGTGCAAGGAGGAACCAGCATAAGGGTGAATTTCAGAAGTTTCTTAGTTGTGTGTTTGTTTTTTTTTTACTCTGGTCCTTTGCACAATGTCAAGGTGCTCTAAACACCCCTTTCACACCTCTGCTTGCCTTCTGCCTGGTGATCCCAAAGCAGCAGGAATCAATGAAACCAGTCAGGAAACCAATCATCCACCTGGGATGCAGAGGGCGAGGGGAGGTGTGATTTCTGTAGCTGAATTTCTGGAGGTCGTGATGAAGCCAGCAAAGAGAGAAGCAGGGAGAAGCCCCCGGCTCTACATCAGGCCAAGGTGAGCCTCCGACCCTTTTCCTCAACAGTAATTCATCCGTCGAGTCATTCATCAGCACATCCAGGAGCATGACGAGTGTAATGCACTTCAAGCTGAAATCAGCTAAATTAGGTGGGGAAGCCCGAGACTAGTGCCTAAAACAGCCCGTGCATCTATTTTATGCATGCGCTACTCATCTCATCCCTTCCCAAGCTCTGCTCCCTGCAAAAGCTGCTGGTTTAGGCTGAGAGCTCTTTTGGCTGTATGGCCAGAGCTTTTTAGGGCATCAGACACAATGGGGCCCAACTTCTTGCTGCTGTTGGGCTTAATTAATCAAAATCAGTAGGTGATGAGGCATTGTGTGATGCTTGTTAGCAGGTGATGTGCTTTGCATGTGAGAGGTGAGGAATCGTTAGCTTTTGAAGGAGCAAAATTGGGAAAAGAAAATGAGTCTGTTGTAAAAGTTGCTCCCCTGGAAGTCCCTCCATTTTCCCATAAAGGATCTGGGCTTCATCTTTTTCTTCCAGTGTTCCTTGTATGAGTCCAGAGGGAAAAGCAGGTCTTTTCCTTTCAAGCATAAGGAAAACTACACCCTCATGGCTTGATTTAATCTCTTGTATTTCCAGCCTGGTGAGGAAAGGATGGGACGACAGAGGCAATCCCACACCCTCACCAAAGGGATCGGGTAAAGAACCCAATTCCTTAGCCCGTTGTTGCCATCGTGCAGCTCTGAGCTCTCGTGCTGGGATCCAGCCTCTGCCTTTGACAGCAGCAGCAGGAGAAAGAGGCACCTGGGGAGCTGGAAATGGAGCTTAAAGCTGAATTTTATCCGTGTTAGCAGGAGTGATCAGGTGAGGGGGTGGAAGGAAGACATCACAGAGCCTCTCATTATATATTGACGTGGTACCTGATCTCAGCATCAAAAAATGGAGTGAAGGGAAGGAGGATTTAATAGAAAGATGCGAGATCTACGCATATCTACATTTACACACATATGAATACGTGAATATCTTTTGGGTGGGTGAGCTGCATGTATTATTATTAGGGGGAGTGATCTATAAATACGTTTTGTAGTCTATCTGCATACATTTTGCAATCCATAAATCAGATTTCCAGTGATGTGCAATACAGCTGAATATTTGAGATAAATGCAACTTTGAAGCGATGATTTCTAAATCAAAACGGAGCATTTAAAATTCACTGGCAGCTTTTATAAATCAGCGACCCAAGATGTAAAACTCCAGGCTCTAGGATGTGTGTATTTTTAATTTCACCTTGTAAATCACAGTGGTAGAAAGCGAGAGAAGGGGAGAAAGATTGTGTTTCTTAAATGTTTATTTGTAGAGGTGCCCTGTGCAGGGAAACACAAGGAGAGAGGCTGCATTGTTCCTTCAGCTGAGCTTGAATTTAACCGGAGAAAGCTTTGCAACAAAGCTGCGATAACTGAGCCTGCTTAGCTCGTTTTATTTTTACTTCTCCTGTTTGCTTTCCAGCTTGCAAATACGGGTTGGTAGCAGCTCAACAGCTCAGTGGTTTTGTGTTCAGAAAGGGAAGCGTTCAAGAAATCCCAGGTCTGCCTGGGCACAGCGCAGCCACCTGCAGGGAGAAACGCAGCCTCAGCTCCGCAGGCTTTCAGCCAAGGCAGTGGGGACCCAGCTTTCCCTGGCCAGCAGCAGCTCATGGGGCAGGAGGAGTTATTTTGCTAGAAAGCAATGATTGCTACGTGTTTTGGGGGTTAGCACAAGATTTTGGGTGTACGCCTGGAGCGCCTGTGTACTCCAGGAGGTCTTAAGGCTGGCATCACGCGTTGGCTTTTCTGCTGGAAACCTGTGTGGGTTGCACCAGTGTCACTGGAAGCAGGATTTAGGGACTTTCCAAGCATCTTCCAGCTTCTGCAAGCAGTATTACAAGTGAACGCTCAGCAGTTTAAACAGATGCAGATGACTCCGCAGCGCTCAAACGAAAGGCAAATTGGTGTCACGGTTAATGGAGCAAATAGATGCCATGATCAGCACTGGAAAACGCAGGCCAAAATCCTCCTCGTGTAACCAATATTTAGTCATCGAACGCAGAAACTGAAGCTGAATCATAGAAAGAGTCTGTTATAAAATAGTTTCTGTGTATTTCTGCACGGCAGTCTAAGTAGATGTACACTGAGACTGGCAGCTGTCTTCCCTGCATATGCCAGGGAAAATTCAAAAGGTTTGGAGGTTCGCTTCAGATACTCGAGTTTGTCCGTGGCTGATTTGAAGTGTGAGAAGTTCTGAGGTGTGTAAAACTGAGCTGGAAGTTTAACAGGAGACAGAAATTTGCTGCGGTTTCCGCCTCTTCCCTCATTTGCAACTAATTGGCACAAAGAAATGACCAGAGATGAAAAGAAGCTTTACACAGAGATGACAAAAAAAAAAAAAAAAAAAGTCCATTTCAGTTTCACTGTGACTTCAGGGCCTGGGAATGGATTTGTTTAGCTTGACCTCAATACTGAGCATGCTGCATCGCATGTCACACTAGGGGAGCTAATAATTCCTTTTTGTCCTCAGTTCTATTAATTTAGCATGAGCCAGAGTCCAGCTGATTTTGGGCAGGGGCTTTTGTCTTGAGAGACGTGGGGCTCAATTATCCTCGAATAATGGAGCCGGGACATTACCAGCCTGTTGCCCTGCATTAGCCTCTACCTTTGTGTGATGTCTTTATTTCAGCACGCCTGTCTCCCCAGAGAAGTGGCTGGTGGGCTTTCTGGGTTCGGGTTCCCTCCTGGAAGAAAGCAGTAGTCAGAACATGAGCGGTGTTGGGAAAGCAACCACTTTGGTGCCCAGGGGCTTTGAGTTGGTTGCTTATCTAATAAAATATGGCAATGCAGACCTTGAAAGCACTGCTGCTGGTGGCTAGGAGCGTGTACCGGGGGAAGTTTTGCTGCCTGTGTGGTTCCTCGTGCTGCTGTCCCGACCAGCCGTGGTGCTGGACCCTTGGGGCTGACGTGGTGCAGCCCTTCTAAACCTGGAGGAGCCGTGGCTGCCCTGAAGGAGAGGAGTAATATTACCACTTCAACCTCATCTATCCTAATTTTGAGCAAATCCACCCTGTGATGCGGGCTATCCAGATGGTGTCTTTTACACCTCCTCTTCACCAGCTTGGGTGTATCTTAGCACATTCTCCCTTGCTGTCCTCCTTGACTTTGACGAGGCTCAAACCCCGTTTTCCCCTGGTTAGGTCTTGCCGGTGCAGATGGGTGAGATGTTTTTTCAAAGAGCAAAAGCTGGTGATTAGTGCTATTTAAAATTAATGACCGTGGTGATGATGCACAGCAAAGGAGGGAACGGGAGAGGGGAAAATACCTGCTTCGTTAAATAATGCTTCGTAAATAATAAATAAAAAGATGGCTTTTAACCATCTCTGGTTAAAACATTTTGTTTTAAATGTTGTCCAGAGGCAGATAAAGCCCAGGATGGAAAATAAGAGAACTTTATTTATTGTTTGTTTCTGGTAATTGGTACTTGGACATGCGTTAGTGGCTGCGGAGGGCTGCTGGAAAGTTGGGAAAGGAAATTTCTTGCTGGATGCAGTCCCTGGCGTTACCACTGAGAGCAGGGAACTTGAGGTTGTGGAATGGTCACGGCTGCATTTCCCGGTTTGTTGGCTGTTAGCAGTGAGCTCCGTGGCTGCTGTTAGAGCTGTGATATCCTGAGGCCCGGAGTGAGAATAAGCACTGACCGAGCCTGGTGTCGGAGGCAGCAGTGAGAATGGAAAACTACTTGTACCTTTTGCACTAGTGAGAATATCAGGTCTCGAAAGATTGCACAATCCCTTTCAAAGCATGAGAAGGTGTCCGTGGAAGTAGAAATTGGACTTACATTTCCCTACCTCTTCTCCTAGCAGTTCTTCGTGTTACCCAGGACAGTTTTGCCCTCTTTGACTTCCCTGCAGAGCCTTCTGGCCTCCCTCGTGTCAGGGTAAGTTCAGACGAGACGGATCTCAAGGGGGAAGAACTGGAAAGCTCCATCAACTTGAGCTCCTGAAGAGGAATCCGTGCGACAAATGTTGATCTCTGCCCGAGCTTATGTAACGTGGAGCTGCTGGCTGGCTCAGGAGAGCACAAAATAGTGTGTTTTGTAATGCATATGCTGGAGGAGGAGGCGTTTATAGAGCCTGCGCAGCTCGCTGGTGTTTGGGAGGCCAGAGGAACGTCCCGCAGACGGATGTAAGAGCAGGGTCGATTAAATTGACAGAAGGCAGAGCCAGAGATTTCCAATTCTCTCGTACTGCGTGCACATCGGTGCCAGCTGACATAGACTTGAGGAAAACAAAATGCCAGCAGCTCCAGAAGGTAGGGAACCTGTGTTTACCACGTCCCCACGGCTCTGCAGGTGTTGCAGAGCGAGCTGGCTCGGAAATCTGCTATCTGCAGCAGCTGAGGTGCTTCCCCAGCTTGAGCACACTGCTCCACGGTGCCTGCAGATGCTCGGATAAACCCAGGAGGTGCTCCCTGGCTGGCGATTTCTCTGTACCTTGCCTCTGCACAGCCTTTGGCCCCTGCTGAGTTCCTGCAGGTGCAGATGTGGCCAGTTGTGAAAAAGCTAACGGGAACACGTCAGCTCCCGTTACCCTAACAGCAACACGTTTTGTGCAAAAAAAAAAAAAAAAACCAACATCCTGCAGCATTATAGGCTCTGAATATTCAGAAATTTGGAATCAGGTGTGCTGAAAGAGGGGAGTGCTGGGAGGGAGAATTGTTTGTTTTGTCCTGGTTGCTGAGATTTTAAGGTGCATTAAACTCGTGTTTTCAGCCTGTTCTCTGCAGATGTAATGGCTTCTACCTCAAAAGAAAAAAAGGGAGGTGAGTCCTAAGGAATACTTTCTTAGGCACCAAAGCATGGCTGTGTTGGATTGGTAAGGCAACTACTGAATTTTAGGAGATCTCAGGAGGCATTCAAGAGCAGCCCTTTGCCCCCAGATAGTTCAGCACATTTCTGAGTGTCTGCAACCGGGGCTGAAATTGTACAGCAGCTTGGAAAGTTTCTCTCAGGGGTCCATTTCTGATCTGTTTGCTTTAAAGGCCAGGTTGTCCTTTTCTAAAACCGCAAGATTGAAGTTTTGTCTCTCCGACAAAGAAATATCGGATCAGGAAGAAAGACTTTTTCAAAGGCAGTTAATCAAACCGAGGGTCACCCTGAGGGTCACGCAGACTTTCAGCGGGTAGGGGGGTGAGCCCGCGGTACGTGCTGGCCTGGAGCACAGCATCAGCAAGCACAGAGGTTTGTGCACCCAAAACAGCCAAAACCCACTATATTTTGCAGAGTGCTTCATGGAGAAGGGCACACAGATGGGGATCCGTGCAGGCAGGTCTTCTGGCACTTGGAGGCTTATAGGAGGGGATAGCAAGGTGAGGATCGGGCTCTTCTCCCAAGCACCAAGTGATAAGACAAGAAGAAATGGCCTTAAGTTGCGCCAGGGTTGGATATTAGGAAAAATATCTTCACTGAAATGGTTGTGAAGTGTTGGAACAGGCTGCCCGGGGAAGTGTTGGGTCATCACCATCCCTGGAGGTCTCCAAAAGACGTAGATGTAGAGCCTTCGTGACATGGTTCACTGTAGGACTTGGCAGTGCTAGGTTAAGGGTTGGACCAGATGATCCTAGAGGTCTTTCCCCACATGAATGAGTCGATGATTTGGTGACTTCCCTGCGCCCCCAGGTGTACAGAAGGAGGTACAGGCAGGATCTGTGCGGAGCCAGCTCAGAAACGGAGACCACGGCTTGCGACTCCTGGCAGGAAAAGATTGTTTGAGATCAAATACTGGAAGAGGTCGTGGGGTCTCTGTCCTCGGAGATATTCAAAACACAATTGGACGAGACTGCGAGTAACCTGTTGTAGTTGACCCTGGTTTGAGCAGGGGTGGGCTCGGCAATCTCCAAGGGGTCCCTTCCAACCCCAGCAGGTCGGTGTTTGAACCAAGAAGTTGGCTGCCCTGTTTCTGCAGAGTTCAGCATTATTAGCTAATTAAAGATGGATCAGAAGGCTTTTATGCATTATATTTAGTGGAGTGGATTATCAGAGTCAGGTTGCCCTGCTCTACGTTAAAAGGGAACAGAAACTGAGGGGAAAGGAAATAATTTTTGTCAGCTTCATTTGTGTAATAGATTTTCTGTGCTATTTTCCGTTGGGGCGGGGGCTCGCTTTGAAATAGAGGTTGACTTCAAATTGTAAGTAATGCTTGTCTTCTGTGGATTTTTTTTTAATACAGATTACAAAGAAGGAAGAAAGAAAGAAATGCATCTGGGCTTATATCCAATTGGATTACTGTCAACCACATCCAGCTGAGAAGGGAAAAGACAGATGTATTGATGGTCACTGAAATGAGATGGAACAAAAGACGACAACCTGAGCAGAGAAGAAAAGGTACTCTTTTAAAAAGGTTGTGTTTTGATGGTGCATTATTCTGGTCTTTCAGAGCTTCCTGCATATCCCCGTATGCCAAGTAACCCCCTCTCCTTTTTTTTTTTTTTTTTCTTTTTTGCCTTAAGGACTTTCATTATTATTATTTTTTTAATCAAAATTCAACTGTACCCCTTTCCTCTCCAGCTGTCCTTCATCGCAAGCCACACGGCACATTTTTAGACATTTGTAACCCGCAAAAGCCTGCTGCTCTTCCATTTCTGTGATCTGGAAGATGCAAAGTCCTGGAGCCTAGGGTTTTTTGGTTGTGTTGAAGAAAAGGCCGCTCAGTTATTTCCATTTGTCTGTCGCATTACATTTTTGGTATGTACCTCATCTTTTGGATTTTTTGTCTGCCCCTGTAGAATCCATGCTCACATACTAGAGTGAAAACATAATTCTTCCCCGCAGTGTGTTCTGTGAGTCACCAAACACCCCAAAAGTTTGACTGTTAGCTGCCTTACCTGCTGAGATACAAATGGGGACAGGTCCAGCTGACTATGTGGTGCCTGAGGGACTTCAGCCCAAACCTACCTGTGCGATGCTAGATTAAATCATTTCAGTCCAGACTATCACAAGTGTTTTGCTCCTTAATATGTATTGTGATGTCAGGAACCAGTTGGCTAGATACCTTTAGGATCTGTCAGTTGTTCTTCCTTGTTTTGCTGTAAAGATCTTCCCAAATAAATACATTTTCTCAGAATGAGATACAATCTTGAATAATCCATCTATCAATTTATATTTCTGTCTATCCATGGAACAACAAACTATCCTAGTGGAAAAAAAAAAGTCCCCAAAACACACAAACTCCAACCACATGGGTATGTGCTTAATTTTAGCTGTAGCCTGATATGCTTTTGCTTTGAGTGGATCATGAGCAGATACCAAAGTACTTCAGTCAGCAAGGGTCCATGCAGAAGTTTGTTGGCTACGGTTTGAGCTGTTGGCTGGTTATTAGTCTTTGCCTGGATTTTTACCTGATTTTGTGTAATGGAGAAATTGATGCCTTCCTTTCTGATTAAGGCTCAGCATTTTATTTATGGAAGCCTCTCAACTGAAAGGTGCTGTACAGACGTGTAAAGTATTATTATTATTTCTCTAAAGCATGTTGTCCATAACTCACAGCAAATATAGTTTATGAAACATGCTTGCTATGCAGCTTTCATTTTTCATCCTTATTTATTAATACCTTTTCAGAGCACTTTAGATAAGTATTTGGAAATCTAGTTATAGGAAAGTCGTATTTTGCACATTTCACTTTAACTGGGAAGAACATTGTTTTCTGATTTTAATCATAAAAATGGAATGCTCCTAATAGAGCGGAGAAACCCAATTTCCTCCAGAAGCATTTGCAGGCTGATCTGGTTCAGATATTCCTGCGATCGCAGGAGAGTAATATCTTGGGCATGAGAAAATGTTCTGCAGTATACCTGAAACAAATATAGCTGTACTGGACAATTATGTGTTTAGCATCATTGACTTTCAGCTAGATGGCTAAGATACTCTTTACTGTCCATTGTCAATTATTAACCTTCACAGCTACAGTGCTTTGTAATTCTGAGCATAGCGCATGCATCAGATGGAGCACAGCGAAGGAAGGCAGCTGGAAAACACCATCCAGGGCACATACGAGATGTTGTGATGACTTGGCTGCGTTGATTTGCTATTCGCAACTTGCTCCATGCCACCTCTTCCTCCTCCTCCTAATTGTCACCCACGTGAGCAGCATGGTGATTCAGAGGGGAAAAGCTGCATAAATGCATGTGAGAGTCAGAGCTTAGTGATAAATTCGGGTTGTAGCACTGCAACCTAGTCCTACCATTCCAGTCCTTTGCTAGGACCACTCCTAAATATAATATAAACGCTGCTGGGTGCGGTGGAGTTATCAGTCTGGAAGTGCAATACAGGAGAACTGCTGAGACCAGAATTTATTCTCCATCGCTTTGGAACGATCAGCTGGTAGAAGCACGCGGTGCTCTTAATGAAGAATACTGTTTTCTCATTTTCTCCGGGATTGAATTCTTTTATTCTACTTAGTGTTTGTCAGCTCTGGCTTCACATTATGATATTTGTGCCAGACCCTCAGTTGGCATGGTCCTGCAAAAGTCAGTGTGGCTACACTGTTATACACCAGCAGTCAGCTGGGCCCTCCCTGAGTAGAAGGGATGCTGATAGAAGAGATGTTCTTTAGTGAAGGGTCAGGCAAAAAAAAAGCATCAGCTTCTTGTGTGTTCCTCACAGTTTTAGACTGAAATTCAATGATCCCATTCATTACATTCCTTCGACCTATTCTCTGACCGCTATGTTTATATCTATAATAAACTTGCCACTGCATAAACTCAAAGCTAATTCTGTTTTACTAGATATTGCTATGTGAACCATAAATAGATAGAAGGTACGGAGGAAACAGAAGAGCCCCCTGCAGTGTTAAGCAGCAGGTTGCTGAGTTTATGGATTGTAGGCAACTAAGGTTTTTTCTCTTCTCTCCCCCTACCCCTTCTTCACAAATCTGAACTAACATCACTTGATTTTTCAATATATATGCAAACAAATCACAGCAAGTGATTTCATGGTCAGTGCTAACAGAGTTCATTTGGAGTTGCACAGCAGCACATTTTGAGAGCAAGGGGATCAAACATAAAATTATATTGGCAACTTGTAGCTGTAACTGCAAAAGGATTAGGAAGCTTACAAGAGGACTGGAAGTTGCATTATGGGATCAGAAGCAAACAGAAAGCACTTCAGGCAATGCTTTCAAAAATGTGTAAGTAACTTTAGGAGCCTTTGACTTTCAATTAGAGCTACGGAAGGTGTTCCACCTGTGATTGTTTTGTGGCAAGGAATACAAGTTTGCAGGCACTTTGATACCTCTTGAATTTGTCTCTGCTTGACTGAATTTTTCTGTTTTGGTGGTTGTGACGTGTATGCTTTACCTGGACAACTATCTGCTTCCTTAGGAAAACTCTCCACTGAGGTCCTTTCAAATTGCCCAGTCATTCTTTTCCCTGTTTCTCATTCCAGGGGAAAGTCCAGCTTCTCCATAGGCATCACGAACACTTTTCTATTGGGTATTCTTACTGATAAATTTGCTACGTTTTTGTATGTCTTGGTGTTCCATTGGTGGACTTCGATACCAAGCACAGAAAGTCAAGCCTCCCCTCAAATGTTTAGCTTTGAAACCAGTAGCATTTTGTCAGATGTCAGTGTTGAGGTTTATTTATTGCTTTCCAGAAGTCTTGCTGCAGGATACTGGGCAGGGTCCATCTGGATCTATTTAGGGCCTTTTTTATTCTGTTTTTAGTTTCTGCTTTTGGATCTGTCACTGACACTTTCATACTTGGGTCATAAGCTCTTTGAGACGGGAATTGGCTACTGCTTCTAGTTTGTTTGTATGCTGCCTACCACGAAGATTTCTTATTGATCAGTCTTAACACATTCTTCCAACAAAATTATTATTTTCAATTATGATGATTAGATCTGTATGTGCCTGAGTCTCTTTCATGAAAAATTGGATTATTTCAATCCATGATAAAGAACTTTGAGATTAAAATAAAACAGTGATTTGTCACTGCGGGGTATTAGTGTTTCCATCTATACTGGCATACATCTTTTGCAGTGTTCACAGAAACTGCATTCAATCTCTCTCCCCTGCAAGTGAAAGTGCTAATGAAGCAAGCATATGTTCAAATATGGGATGGTATCTTGTTGCAGTACTATACTGAGAAGATGAAATTTGGCTAAAAGTAGCACACAGCATAGTCATTTTGTGTGCATTCAGCAGAGTAAATATTTATCCTCTGTTTTTAAAGGCACAAAGGCCCAAGGAAAAGGAAGCTGCACGTTATCAATACATATTGTAGTGTGAGTTTGAGGTTTGTTTTGGTTTCATCACATGCTGCCCTCTGTACTCTCACTTTACGTGTAAAATAGCCTTTTTGTGTGACCTTAGTTACTGAATTCCATGTTGATACTCCTCTTCCTTACTGGTATTTTTCCCTCAAACCCTCCAAGTGCATACTTAGATTGAAGTTTGTGTTTGCATCATAAGTGAGTTCCGGTCGTGTGCTTTGGTTTTCATTTTTCTGTCTAAAGTAATAGAAGAAACAATAATTCATTTTAAAATGCAAATGCTTGAATCTGTTAATGCCCTCTTTCTTTTTAGGCAAGTTAAAATCTGAATACTTTAGCTATAATTTCAGCACTATAAAAATTAAGAAATTGGTTTAAAACAGATACTTTACTCTGAGGGTAGTGGATTTCTGGCACTTGCTATCACAGGAGGTTGCAGAGGCAAACAGTGTTGGAGGTTCAAACGGATTAGACAAATTTGTAGACAATTGATACATAAATGGGTGCTAGAAGAGTTATTTAATACAGCAATCCTGGATGCAGGGGAAATGTGAGAACAGACCAAAGAAATGGCATGATTCAGATGTTCTGCCTAAATAGCATCTCTTATTGCCACTCAGAGGCAGAACTGGTCAAGCTGGACCAGCCTTTAGGCTGTTTTGTAAGCTTTCAAGTCTGTGATATATCTAAGTATAAACAATTTGGTAGATCTCTACAAGGTATTTAAGAGATGCATGGATGCAGCACTAAGGGACATGGTTCAGTGATGGGACTCAGCTTGGTGGTTGTACCTGGTGATCTTTGAGTCTTTGCCAGCTTAGATGATTCTGTGAAATCTGTTTAAAAGAAGAAAAAAAAAAAAAAGAATTTGTTATGGATAAATTTTTGTAGAAGCAAATAATCTCTTGAATTAAATTGTATTATTTCATTTGGGAGGGGGCAATTTGATTCTAGGGTGAAGATAATGAAGCCATGTCTCACTCAAACACCTATTTAAGGTACATGTTACAATACCAATTATGCTCTGTGAAGTCATTAAAATGATGACTTTTCAGTGTCTGATTGTAAGAAGTTTCATTACAGTACATAGCACTAGACATTAAAGATGGTTGTGG